AGAGCACTTTCTAGCTGGGGTAAGGCAGGGAAGGGCAGGCAGGTGCCCGCAGGCAGCTTCAGCCCCCGGTAAACCATGGTCTTGCCTCTGAGCCTGTGCATAGGCTGTTCCTCCTTCCTGGCACACTGTTCCCTACTCCCCACTCCCACTCTACTTAAATTTCAAGACGCTGTTCAGAAGTCTCCTCCTCCAAAAAGCCTTCCTTGAGGGCTCTTAATTGGGGCTGGGGGCTCCCAGGGACCCCTCAGGCTCAGAACTCTTCCTACTCTCCCACCGGACCCCAGGACACCCAAGGCAGAGGCCACTTTCCACCCCCGTTTTTTCCCCAGAAGCCCAGGAGGCCCTTGGTCAACATTCATCGAGTGACTACATGACATGACGTCCTGGGGGACCAAGGGAGGAGGGCTCTGGGCTCTGGGGAGGATTTAGGGAGCGGGGCTGGGGATCCCAGGCTTGGGAAATAGGCGGTCGCTTTCCCCAGCAGCTCCCCAGGAGGTATTTACCATCCACGATGGGCCAAGGTGGATGCCCCGGGGGTCCTAGGGGGCAAGGGCGGGCGGCAGTGGGGGGTGCAGCTGGACCAGCTTGGAAGTGGGAGGGGCGGGGGGTGGTGGTCCCGTGTCCCACTTGGGCTTAGCCTCTGAGCTCTGAGGCTTGTGACATTAATTCCCGATGGTCAGGGGAGGAGTGTTTTGGAAGTGGGTAGGGGGACAACGACCTGCAGCATCCTGGTCCACTGCAGCTTGTGGTCCACTAGGACCCCAGAAGACAATTCCCCGGGGTGGGAAGAGAAATGACGGCTGCGGGGGGGGGGGGGGGCGGGGCTGGGGGGATGCGGCAGGTCTTGGCCACGCCCCTCCCGCCTCTGTCCTGGGCCCGGGGCAGGGAGGCGGGTGGGGACGTTGAGCCCCTCCTATCTACACTGCAGCTCCCGAGCGCTTGCTTGAACTCACACCGGCTCCTGTGTATCCATTTTAAAAGTTATTAGAGTGGTCATGTTTGCAGCACAGAAAAATCAGCAGAGGAAACTGGGGCGGTTAGAGACCAGCGCCCGGCCTTCACGGTCCAGGGAGCGGCCAAGGCCAAGCCCTGGCAGGGCCGCGAGGGGCGACTGGACCCAGCCGCCTTCTAGAAGGTGCGTGGCGCCCAGGGGTCCCAATTCCCCAAGCGACGTGCCAAGCCTTAGTTAGCTCTTTGCAATGCCCAGGGGCCCTTCCGTCCACTCGCCCATCCTGGGACCCCCTGGCTTCCAGGGTTGGGGCAGGAGGACCTAAGGGTGTCCACATCCACCACCCGCCCACCAGGGACCAGGTCCATCATGACGGGTCGTGGCGGTCATCTGGCCCCGGGTCTTCTCCACAGTAGCGGGGACCAGACGGGCAGCGCCAGGAAAGGATCTCAACACTGGGGGTGGGCAGGGGTCGCCTTTCTGGGGAAGGCAAAGGGGACATTCCTGAGAATCTTGAGTCACCCAGAAAGCAGCTCAAGGAGGGCCTGTGGGGCCCAAAGTTCTAGGACACAGGGAGGAGGCCCTGGTGCTTCAAAAAAGGGTTTTTTTGGTACTGGACCTTGAAGCCAGGGACACTTGACCACTGAGCTACATCCTCAGCCTTTTTCACTTATTTTGTTGATTCAGGGTCTTGCTAAATTGTTTAGGGTCTTGCTCAGTTGCTGAGGCTGGCCTCCAGCTTCAATCCTCCTGCCTCAGCCTCCCGAGTTCCTGGGCTCACCACTCCCCCGCCCCACAGCTTCACTGGAGCTTTTAAAACCTGTCACCCGGCCTGGCCACCCCGGGGGCCTCCTCCTGGGCCCGAGTCCCTCTGTCTGGCTCTGTTTTTTCCCATGGAGGCTTCTGCCGGCTGCTTCTGGGTTGGAATCCTACAGTGTTGTGCCAAAGCACACCCTCGGGCAACGTCTGGAGACATTCTTCTGGATGTCACTGGGGGTGGGGTGGGGGTGGTGGCAGTGCCCTGGCATCTAACGGAGAGGACAGAGGATGCTCTCACATCGCCCACCACAGCGCCCACCATAAAGAACACTCTGGGCCCTGTGTTGACCCCCGCAGGGTGAGAAACCTTGGCTTAGAAAGATCATCCTCCCCTCCCTCCCTCCCTGTTTAGATCTCGACTGATGTCACCTCCTCCCAAAGACCTTTGCCAATAACTCTCCGTAGTCGAGCTCACCCCGAGTTTCTGCCCCCCTGTGAGTTTTCCTCCCCCCAGACCCTTGTGAGCCGCAAACGTGTACCTTTGTGGTTGACACTTCCTTGTCTTTCTTAGGCTCTGAACTTCAGAATGGGGGAGGCTTTGCATTGCTCATCACCAAATGTTCAGGGCAAAGGTAGTAGGTGCTCAATAAACCACCCACTGAGTGAAAGAAAATAGTCTGGGAGTTCCATGCGAACCTGGGCCACGGGCATCCAGGTGGGATGCAAAGGCCCTGCTCCCACCTGGACCAGCTGGGTAGGGGGTAGTAAGGGGAGAAAGGAAACAAAGAGGCAGTTTGCGGAACGTACTCTTGGCCACCAAGCCGGTGTTAGGGGCAGAGCTCAGGTTTGGAGCTGGTGGTCCACTAGGACCCCAGAAGACACCTGCTTGAAAACTTAATTCTGAAACTTCCATATAGAGGAGATTCCTCTTCCTCACAGTTCTAGAGGACATTTCCCGGCTCCCCAGATGCCAGACAGAACTATGGAACTTTTGCAAACTGATTTGATACAGAGCCATCTTCCTGGTCCCCTGCCCACCACCATGCACACACGGCCATCTTTCTCGGTGCCCCCCTCATGTCGGCCCTCCCAGCCCAGCTGTTAGATAGCTGGGGGTGAGGTTCCCTTGCAGGGAAACCATCACAGAGCGTAAGTGATTCCTTCCAAGCAGCAGGCAGATGATCAGATAGCATCAGACACTAGGGCCTAGGCACAAAATCCTTCCTCCTGCACCCTCCAAGTTCCCTGAGTGAAACTTCTGTAGGCCCTGACACACGGTCTATCAATGACAACCGGAATCCTGGGCTTCTGGATATTTCTGAGTTTAAACCAACCTCTGCCTATTCCAAGGGAGCTGACTCCGGGGAATTCTTACCTTCTTTCTCTGGGCCTCCAGTCCTGCGCCTGTGACAGGAAGGGAAGCCTGCAGTCAGGGACAGTCTCGCATGTCCACCTCTAATGCTCTGTGGCTGCATCTGGGATCGGCAGGCTGAGGTGCTGGGACTGACTAGCAATGTCTGCAGAGGGGACCGGAGCTGGCAGTGGAGACAGATGTGCTACCTATTTGCCCTCTTTGGATAGATCTGCATCTCTTTAGATATTTTAGATATAGATCTGTCTGGATCTTGGTCTCAGTGGCCTGATTGGATTAAAGCCCAGTGGCTGATCCTCCTAAGGAGGTAAAAAATCCCACATTATTTTCACCTTGGTCTTGGAGCCACGGTATGTTGGGAAAGTCACCAACACACAGCAGGCTGGGACCCTGTTGGAAGACACCGTTGGCCAGAGCTTTCCCTTGGGGGCGTCCCTGAGCAGGGAACCTGGACCGACCACCAGCAGGCCTAGGCGGGGGGGTGTGTGCGGATGGAGGCCAGCTTCAAGCGTTTTGGGCCCAGCTGTTCAGAGAAGCCCTGAAGGGGAGTCCCTGGGGGCCCTGAGCACCCCATCTCAGGCCAGCTTCCTGGTTCGTCACTCACAGTGCCAGCCTCATGTGCGGCTGGGACTAGATGGGCTGCCATGCCTGGCCCGAGTCCTGGCCGTCTGTAAATGCCCGGGGGTCAGCTGCTTTCTTTCATTGGTCAGAACACTTGGCTCCTGAGGACCAGCTCAGTCATCCAGCTGAACTTCCAAAGGCCCATCGAGTTGGGGATTCAGAAACCATCCCAGAGAGACTTGGGCACACCTCCCCTGGGTCTTTTAGGTCACAAGCACACAATAGTGTCCACGAACCCCACAAGTCCTACACCGGGAAGCAGGTTGCTTATAAGCATTTCCCACGCACACTCGCCCCGGGACCCTTCCCATAATGCAGCGTCCATCCCGTCTTGCGTTGGATTCAAGGGGCATGGGACACTCGGGGTCTCATGCCCACCGTCTGCAGCCCTGGCAAGGCCCACTTCCCCCAGCTCAGTCCTCAGTGGGGGAGGGGGTCCTCCAACCCTGAAAGACGCACCCTTTACAGCCTGGGAAGGAAGGCCCTTCCCCCCCCCGAGAGGGAAGGCCACTCACTGGTCAGCCCCCAGGAAAGCCACACGAGGATGCCCAGCAGGAGGGGAGAGTTGGGCGGGCTGGCGGGTGCTGGGGCAGCTGGGAGGAATCTGCCAACTCTGATGCACTTCCCTGGCTATCCGGGCACTGCCGGCCACCTAGCAGCCCAGGGACACAGTGGACACTTCTGCCCCTGCTGTCCCCTTCACCGTTTCCCCTCAACCTCCCCCTCTTGGCTCACTGGGGACTGCCACATCCCCGTGGGCCCCAGGGCATGCATCTCTCGCAGAAGTGTGTCCTTGGGGACACATGAACTCCGAGACTCACTCTGAAATGTGGGCACCACCCCATCCTGGGTGGGTTTATGTTCCTATCACATCAGCCATCAAAACGGGGACACGGGGACGAGGGAGGCCGCCTCCCCCTGCCCCCCGGGACCAACATGGGGATTCCCCGGGCTGGGCACATAGTAAGTGCTCAGTGAACAGGACTCTGCCTCCTGGGGACACCTGACTCACGGGGCGCTTCACAAGTGACGTTTCATAAGCCTGGTGAACACGTCCGGGGTCCCACGTGGCCTCCACAGTGCAGCCTGGAATTCCAACACCTCCAGGCTCCGCCCACTCCTGGCTGTCGCCCAGCCGCTGTCCCTCCCTGCGCTCTGGACGTGCTTATCGAGTACCAGGCTCACGCCCACTGCCTCTCGTTCCCCGGCCGCGCAGGTCAGGAGGGTGTCGTGAGATGTTACGATTCCTTTGATATTTTCCCCCCAATTAAAAAATAAATCAATGAAACAGAAGAGCCGTTTGGTCCTCAGGCCGAAGCTTGTCACCTCAGCTCTAGATGTCTCAAGATAGCGAGGGCCCAGAGATCAGAGTGTCTTGGAGGATCAGCGACAGGTGGGAGGAGGGTTATGGAAGGTTGGGGGCGTCTGGGTTTCTGTGCTTGTGTTTGGGGGGCACGATGTGGGGACACGGGGTAGCACAGGGAGAGAGGAGATGCAGGCTCCCTGGACACAGAGTCCTGTTACCCACATAGGTAAAGAAAGGGCGTCCATAGGCTGAGCCCAGGTGGACGTGGAGGACAGGAGGGGGACATGGCGACATGGAATTCTTTTCTTTGACCCCTAATAGGGAAAACCAGGACCAGGGAGACCTAAGTGGCAATTTAGTTTCTGGTTTGGCTCTGGGGATGGGGCCACTGGGGGATGTCCCTACAGGAGATCAAGAGGATCATTTGTCGTGTGAGGAGTGGGTGGGAGTTAGCAGGCCACTGCGTGCCCTTCAACAGAAGCCCAGCAGTGTCTCTCTGAAGGTCCAGGCCCCCGGGGGGACCTTCCCCCTGCAGAGTGGTCCACACGGGAAGCCTGAACAGAGAGGGGTTTGCTGAATGTGAGGCACAGACGGAAGCAACTTGCTGTTGAGCTGGTGACTCGTGTCACCTGCAGGGAGAGGCGCGCACACACACATACACACACACACAGAGGCTCCCCTTCACGGGGTGGGTCCTATAGAACCAGACGCAGGACAGGCTAGCCGCTAAAACGGGCAAGTACAAAGTCTCTCTCCTCTTCCACCCTCAAAGGACGAATGACCATGTTCTCCCCCCAGGTGTCCCTCAGCAAACAGACCGGGGCCGTGGGAAAGGAGGGGCCCGATTCTCCCCGGATTTAAACAAGTAAGGGCTGGGGCTGGGGTGGGGGTCAGGGAACGCTGGAAGCCTGGAGCCAGCGTTCAGTTCTGACTGCAGCGGAGATCTCGGCAGGTGGGGACGGAGGAGGAAAGAGTGAGAAGTCAAGAAGAGGTGACGTGGGACCAAGGAACAGACCCAAGGAGCTCTAATCCCCGAGGCTAAGAAGCCCCAGAGGGGCAGGGGGGTGGGTGGAGGGCTGGGCCTTCTCCCTGGATCTCCCAGGTCCTGTCCTAACTCCCAACAGGGGCTCAGGGTCACATGGAGAGTCACCCTTGGGAGACCCCGCTGGGCCTTGACAAGGGTGGTGGTCGGCTATTTTGGTTAATTCTGGAAGCAGGAGAGTCCGGGGCAGCAGGGGGCAGCTCTGGGGGGCATTTCAACTTTGGGGGCTCTGGACCCCGGCTGCCTCCTTCCTTCCTCGTTTCCTCTTTGGGCACAAAGTGCAGGGGAAATCTGGAGTCTGTGCACTGACAAGTCCGGGTGGGGATTGAGGAGAGGCAGGGGCTGGATGGCAGGCACTCGGTAGGTCGCTGGGCACAGCCTGGGTGGTCCACCCAGGCCAGGGACTCGGGGGCTCCACAGAGGGGACTGTTGGAAGGGGGGCATCTTCAGACAAGAGCTCTGGGTGTCTTGCAAGTGCGTGTGAAATGCCCCCAAGACAAGCAATCACCAGGCCAAGAGCCACCAGGACGGATGTCCCCAGAACAGGAATGTCCACTTAGGAATGGCCCCGGGTGGGGTTTTGAGTCTCCTGGTCCCAGGCAGGTGGGGATGTGGCAAGGCAAGGCAAGGAGGCCCTTGGGGAGCGCAGGGGACCCCCCTGGGCCCAGTTCTGGGGAAGCACAAGGTCGCCCTGTTCTTCCCGGAGCCGACTTGCCCTGGAGCGTGCAGCGGTCTGGGGCCACCCAGGTGGGCAAGGTCCCCGTGCATGTGGCTGGATTCTGGATGTTAGCTCAGATCAGGTTTTGAAGTCTGGGTCTCCCTCCCTGGGAGGGCGATGTGTGGATGCGGGAGGAGCTGTGAGATCACCAAGCTGGGCAGTGGCCAGGGGGTCCAGAGGGACCGTGGGCCGGCCCTGGGCGCCCTGCAGCTGCTCTGCTACCTCTGCTGCTGCTCTTTGTGGAGACAGATTTCCCTTTAGTGCCAGGTCAGATCCATGGGGTCGGGGCTTTGGGGACATTACCCAGAGGCTCTCCTCTCCCTTGCTCTGGGGGAAGTCCAGGCCTTGAGCAAGGGGAGGGATGGCAAGAGGGGACGTTGAGTGAGCACAAATAGGCAAGGGACCCTGGCTCCTAACAGGAGGCCACTCAGGGACTGCCCAGGCTGGAGTGGAAGGGAAGGATTTTTATAAAAGGGCTCCCTCCCCGCTGCCCCAAGGAGACGTATTAAGGGGTGGAACAGCCGGAGAAGCTCCTCCCAGACAGGACACCCCGAAACCCACCCCACACGCGCCCCAGAGACCATCACTGTGGGTGGGCCAGCTGCCCAAGAGTAAGGGAGAGGAATGTGCTAGAACACCCCCCATCCTAGTTCTTGGGGCCTAGACTTCAGGGGGTGTCATGAGCCCTAAGGACACCCCCACACACACATAATCCAGGGAGTCACTGTGCCTTCCAAATGGCCAGTGAGATGAGATAGGATGACCCTCTCCCAGGGCAGGGGACAAAGGCAGGACGGGGCTCGAAAGACACGCAGGACTGTCGCGGCACACGTGGCAGCTGCGTCCAGAGGTGCCATGCACCGTGCCAGGCTTGGGTTGGGGCCTCTGAACTAGATGTTTCCAAGGGAATGGGCTTGGCCACCCCTGCCCTGCCCCACCCTGGCCCTGCACAGTGGCCTTGACCCAGCTGGGGCTGCTCTTCCCCAAAGCAGCGGGGCTCCAGGCGGAGCAGTCGGGCTGCTCTCGTGGGGCCAGCAGAGCGGGCCTCGTGTGCGCACGCGCGGCACTGACCAGTCAACGTCCTGCCTGGCGGGCGGGGTCTCCTGCCGGCCCCCCGCAGCCCAGGGTCTCCACCTTCAGCCTGGAGTTGTCCTCGCCACACTGTCCCCTGGGCCCCACTCATCAATCCCGTCACCCCGGCTGATCAGGTGGGTCCTGACTCGGGGGTCCCCGCCCCTGCCCGAGCAGAGGGGCGCACGTCTGGGGTGCAGGGCGGCCACGGTGCAGTCGTGCGGCGCTCCGAAGCCGGACGGTGGGGACCCTCTGGTGGTGAGCTTCTGGCCTCCCGAGCTGGCAGGGGCGGAGCAGGGAGGGAGAGGTGGCTCAGGAGCTGAGGCAGCCCAGCGTGGTCCCATTGTCCCAGGGTCACAGCCTGGAGTGGGGAGAGAAGCCCAGTGAACGGTGACATGGATACAGCAACGGCAGAGGGCCAGGGGTGTCGACGTGAGATGCCCCTGTCCCCTCTGAGAAATGTGAAAGGCACTCTTACCAACGGGGGACCTACCATGCGCTGGGCTCCGTGCCAAGTGCCACACATATCTGACCTCATTGAAACCTGAGAGCAGCCTGCAGTGTAGGCACAGCGTAGCCCTTTCATGGGTGAAAACTGAGGCCCAGAGAGGTTATGTGTTTTGTTCAAAGGATGCACAGCCAGGAAGGAGAGGGACAGGATATGAACTTGGAATGCTCCCGCTGGAGCCTGCAGCCTCTGGACTAGGGATGATTGTCACGGGCTGGGGGGAGGGTCCCCTAGGGCTGAAGACCCAGGCAAGGGTGTGAGTCCAGTATCCACACTATGGACGCCAGTGATACACAGAGACTATATCACCCACAGCAGCCAAAGCACCTCAGTTCCGTTGTCCAGCACCTGCCTCTCCACTCATGGACTGGCACCTGGCCCCTGATGGACACTGAAGGTCCCCTGCCTCCTCTTCTTACAGAGTTTATGTCCCGCTGTCCAGTTGAGCTCCTGCCCTCTCCTTCCTGACCTCTAGGAGAATAGCGTCACTGAGCGATGACCCAAATGACCCCAGAGTTTTGTAGCACCAGCTTCTCCTGGGTCCATCCCAGGGCTGCGAGCCCAGAGCCTAAGTGGCCTGAGTTGGGCAGGAGTTGGGCTGGAGGCTGCCTCCTCCTCCTGCCTTCCCCCTCAGATCCAGTTGGTGCTGAATCCTGTCAGGCCACCAGAGTAGGCTCACGGTCCCTCCTGGCACACAAGGACCATCACCATATTGGGGACACCTGCTCCCTGGGACTCACCGTGCCTCAGCGCAGGACCTCATTGTACCCCAAGGCATTCCTGCCAAAGGGTTGCACGGCCCTCATTTTTCAGATTTGAAATGAGCTCAGAGAGACCCAGTGACCTGCTCAGGGACACACAGCAATCAAGCAGAGGAGTGAGCATTCTAATCTAAGCCCTCCATAGTGTGGAGGGAGGAACTTCTAACTGCCAGGGAGGAAGGCTGAGCCCCTGGAGGAAGAGGAGACTCTGCCCACTAGGCTCAGCAAGCTCAGGGTCAGGATGACTGGAGGAGGGTCTAAGTCCAACCCCTGGGACCTTGAGGATCTTCAGGGGGGGCTCGGGCAGCTGCTCTGCCATACCTGTGGGTGCAGGTGGGGATTTGTGAAGTGCACCTGCGTATACTCATCCACATGTGTCCTCCAGTGTCACGGATGTGACTACCACACGTGTGTGTCTGAGTGTGCCTGTGTGTGCAGGAATGTCCTTGTGTGTGGATGTCCGTGTGTCTACGTCTGAGTGCATGTGTATGAGTGTGCAGAGGCATGTAAGGTAGTGTCCCCAGGTCTGGGGACCTGCATGTGTACAACCAAGTGTGCCTGGGAGCATCTGGCAGAGCAGCGACAAGCAGGGGCCTGTCTGCCTGTCACCTGGAGAGCTCAGTCATGGAGGCTGGAGCGGAGACCCCCCCCCCAGGCTCCTGATCTCACCTAGGGCTATGGGCCTGCAGCCAGGAACAAGGGAGGGATGGAGGGACGTGGCCTGGCATGTCACCAGGAGGAAGTAGGGCCTGAGGAAAGGGAGAAGTTGAGAGACTCCCTGTCTTTTCTTATGCCACAGAGACCGCGTGATGGGCCAGGCTGCTGGGCCAGGAGGATGTCCGTCAAATCGGTCCTGGTGGAGGGTCCCTGAGCACATAACGGGGGGCTTGGTGGACCTGAGGCGCCACCTCGCCCCGGGGGGCTCCACTCAATGGGCATCAGCCTTCACTGGGGATCAAAAAGCGGCGAGTTGTGTGCCACAGGCCAACTCTGACCTGGACCCCAGGGGACCCCCCAAACCTGTGGGCAGGGCGGCTGCATGCGCTGGGGGTGAAGTTGGGGAGGGGGAGAAAGGTGACGGGGGCCGGAAGGCAGGGCAGTGGAGAGAGGCTGAAAGAGAAACCCACTCTGCAGACTTCCAGAAATGTCCGGGATGAGACAGGCGGCGATTGCGCTTTGGCAGCTTCTCCAGCATGTCCATGAGCTTGGTGAAGGTGGGCCTTTCCTCCTGCTCGAAGGCCCAGCAGAAAAGAAGAATGTCCTAAAAGAAACCAGTGAGTGGTCATTGATCGCAAGTTGTGATTTCTTTATTCGTCCTTGAGCCCTCAGTGACTCTTTCCCTTTGTCTACCCACCTCCATATCCCTACATCCTTCCCTCCCTCCAGCCACCCCCTACCATCCGTCCATCCACCATCCATCCACCATCCATCCATCCATCATCCATCCATCCATCCACCCATCCACCCACCATCCACCCATCCATCCATCCACCATCCGTCCATCCACCATCCATCCATCCACCATCCATCCACCATCCATCCATCCACCATCTATTCATCCACCATCCGTCCACCATCCATCCACCATCCATCCATCCATCCATCATCCATCCATCCACCATCCATCCATCCACCATCTATCCATCCACCATTTGTCCACCATCCATCCACCATCCGTCCACCATCCATCCATCCATCCATCCACCATCCATCCATCCACCATCCATCCACATCCATCCATCCACCATCTATCCATCCACCATCCATCCATCCACCATCCATCCACCATCCATCCATTCACCATCCATCTATCCACCATCCATCCACCATCCGTCCATCCACCATCCATCTATCCACCATCCATCCATCCACCATCCATCCATCCATCCACCATCTATCCATCCACCATCCATCCACCATCCATCCATCCATCCACCATCCGTCCATCCACCATCCGTCCACCCACCATCCGTCCATACACCATCCGTCCATCCACCATCCGTCCATCCACCATCCGTCCATCCACCATCTATCCATCCATCCATCCATCCATCCACCATCCATCCATCCATCCATCCATCCACCATCCATCCACCACCTATCTACCTACCATCCATCCATCTACCATCCATCCACCATCTATCCATCCACCATCCATCCATCCACCATCCGTCCATCCACCATCCGTCCATCCACCATCCATCCACCATCCATCATCACCATCCACCCATCCACCATCCATCCACCATCCATCATCACCATCCATCCATTCACCATCCATCCACCCACCATCCGTCCACCATCTGTCCATCCACCATCCATCTATCCACCATCCATCCATCCACCATCCATCCATCCATGAACCCATCCATCCATCCATGTACCCATCTATCTATCCATCCACCCATCAATGTGTATATCCATCCATCTACCCACTATCCACCACCCACCCATCCATCCATCCATCCTTCCATGTATCCATCACCTATCCCTGTATCCATCCATCACCCACCCACCCTTGTATCTATTAGCCACCCATCCACGTCAGTTCCCTTCCCTCCTTCTTTATCTACCACCCATCCATTCTCCATCCCACCTGCTCTGAGGCCATATAACACACTAGGTAGGCTCTATGCTAGAAGGTTTGGGATACATCAGCATCAACAATACTCCCTGAGGAATTTCTTGGCATTTTCCTCAAAACTGAGGGACAGAAGGGAATCCTAAAGTCTGCAGCCCCATCCCAATAATATAAGAACCCTTCAAAGCCACAGAGGAGAAACATGACTATTTATGGTCTCCTTATCCAAGAAAGGAAGGAAACCTGGAGGCAGGTAATCCTGACAGACGTACCAGGTAATTACTGCTCCCCTGAATCATCTGCCTCTGATCAAAAGAGAGGAGTCTTCCTGCTGTGTTTAAGAGGAAGATTATTCATTTATAACCAGGGCTCTCTGTTCCTCTATATCTTGTTCTGAGTTGGATAATGCCTTAAAATTATTAGGCAGATGCACATAAAAGTAACACCAATAATATTTATGATATCTTAATGAAGATGTTTTGAAAATAACAGAATGAGAGGATTCGTTGGGGCTCTCTGACTCCACAATCCATCGGTAGGAAAAACCTAAGCAGGTGTTACTACGCCCCTGGTGGCAGGCACCTGAAATTGCAGGCATAGTGCCGGGGCATTGCTTGCTGAACTCCAAACCAAACTTAAGAAGGTTGCAGGTTTTTTTTGTTTTTGTTTTGTTTTGTTTATTTTTTGGTCACCCCAAGGAAAGCATTTGTAGCCTTCACATGCAGGAAAAAGAAAACCCAGGATTGTGTCTGCATCTCCCTTGTGCCCCAGACCTGGAATACTCTGGGACCAACTTACCGAGATTTCTTTTCCCATGCCAATCTGGCTGAGGCTGGGCTTCATGCCTGTGCCCATCTGCCATATTATTGCCTCGGCTGGTTGGGTCTTGAAAGGCCACTCCCTGGCATGGAGTTCGTACCAGATCGTGCTGTTGGCAGACAGGTTAGAGGGGTGCTGATGTGGTTCAGCACGCTGACCCTGCACCCTCCTCACCAATGCCCACCCACCCCGTCCTCCTGGCTGACCACTCCTTTCTCCAATTTCTTCGTCCTGGGGGTGGCATCGTGCCCCCTGGGACCCACGTCAAGCTCTCTCCATCATACTTATTTGGGGATACTCTCTGTGATGCCTGAATTAAAATGAACCAAAGCGAAGAAGCTGAATAGTTTGCTAGATACGGTGCGGATCTCTGACCCTGCATCTGTAGTTCTAGGAAGCCACTGCAGGTGAATGATTGGGGACATCCATTCCCTAACCAGGATGTTCTCCATGACACTGTAGATAATACCAAAAATATGAGAACACAATTCCCAGTAAGAGAATTTGGTTGTCTGTGTCATGGTAAATCCACACAGTGAAATGGAAGATTATGTTGTGATGAGAACATTTCAAAGAAATTTTGCTGACATTAAAAAAAAAGAAATGCTCCACAGATTTTTTCTAAGTTTAAAAAGCAGGACACAAGACTGTACATAGGGTCTGAGGTTATTTTTTTTAAAAATCATTATATGCACAAAAGACTAAGATATAACAGTGAAATGTGAACAGGGGCTAACTCTAGACCGTCAGAGTTTTCTTCTTTTATACTTGAGTTTTCTAAGTATGAGCCATTCTTTACAACGATGGAAAGACTAAGAGGAGGAAAACAGGTTTGCAAATCCGACTGATGGGATTCGCGAAATGATACGGGGAGGTGACTTCAGCCCCCAGCACAGGTGTTCTTAGGTGCCAAAAGAGAATCGTGATGAAAGTGGGAGAACTTTTATCTGAGATGCTGAGCAGTGGAGGAGTTTGATGCTACAGTTATCCGGGGAGGCTTACTGTGTCATCATCTGCTTTATAAATCACGACGTTGTAACGAGCAGAGAAAAACTTGCTTAAGGTTCAGAGAGGTTGTGTGCCTTATCCAGGACCACACAGCCCATCAGAGGGGCAGCTAGGTGTTGAACCCCGTCCAGTGGACTCAGAGCATGCTGTACTGGGAAGCTTGTACTCCATCCCACTCAAAAGCCCTTTGTCATCAGGGAAGTGAGGATTTGGGGGTACAACCTTGTAGCTGATGGTCGGAGCTTGGGGAAGGAGGTACAAATGGATTGTGGGAGAGGGGAGGGTTCCCTTTGGGGGCTCTTCCCTGTCCTGGGTGCCTTCTAGATGTTTTCTCATTCAGTCCTTAGAACTCCGCAGTGGGTTTTGTTATCCTTGATTGACAGGGGAGGGAAGCCGGGCTTTGGCTGGCAACATCACTCTCAAGCCCACTGGGGCTGCAGGGCTAAAGCTCCAGCCGTGGCCACAGGTGTGCATCCCAGCTCCTGCAATGATTGACAGAAGGCCAAGCACCGAGCCATCTGGGGGCCTCAGTTTTCTCACCTGCCAATTGGGAAGAACGTGGTCCCTAGGATATAAATCACAATGGCAGGAGACGGCATGCGCACACAGAAAAGCTTAATGCAGCGCTCAACCCACTTTTAAAAGTTCAGTGTTGCTCTCAGTCATCCCTGAGCACAAGGCTCCCGAGCAACAGGATGCTCCTAATTGGCAGGAACCCAAGAGCGCCAGGTCCTTCGCAATTCAGCAGTGTCAGAAATAAAACCCTCATTAAAACTTCCTTTCAAACCTAACTTTAAGAGAAATTCACTTGCAGAAAAAAAGAATTGCTCAAGATGAAAATTCCAGTGGAAAACCAATTACTTACTCGGGTACATTTTGTTAATTGCTTTTTTTTTTTTCCCCCAGTGCTAAATGTACACTAAAATATACCAACTTAATTACTGCAATTTGGTTTCAGATAACAATATCTAACTAGATAAATATTTGGGCATTAACTAATCAAGGCGAGTGACAGCCTTTAATGGGGCCCAAGTGACAGATGTTGAGAATCCTGGTCTCCTCAAAAACCGCGCATCAGGGTGGATGAGGAGGGGGCGGTGAGGGTGCTTTGCCAAGGGAGACTGTCTCTCTGTCAAGTCTCAGCAAAACCGAAACATCTACAGGCCTGCGATGTGCCCAGACCCTTCCCCAGCGTGGCCCCCAGCCCTTGGGTCCACGCCATGGACAAGACCAAGCAAAGATGAGCCACACCCCAACCCCAAGAGAGGATTTTGAATGTTTCTATCACAAAGCAATTAAAGAATGACAAGTGATAACTGTTTAAGGCGAAGGACATGGTAATTATCCTGATTTGATCATGACACAAGTATCCAGGTATTTAAATGCTACATTGTACCCCATAAATACATGCAATGATTCTGCACCAATTGTACCTAAGATAAAACTTTTAAAATAGAATACAAAGGAGGTGCTACTATGTAATCTCTGAGACTAGGTCCCAGAGGTCACTCAGGTTCCCAGCCACCATGCTATTAGCTCACTGAGGCACGTGAGGTGAGGGAGGAGCTGAGGCCTCCCCCTGACAGCCATGTGAGTGGCCACCTGGGAAATAGCTCCTGAGTCCCCCCCAGCCTTCCGAGGAGACCCAGCCCTAGCACTGGCACCTTGTGACAAACCAAGGACAACTCAGAGTCATTCAGGGAACCTCCCTCAAATCCCTGACCTAAGAAACTGGAGATGAGAGATTTGTCCTGTGTTGCTCAGTTTGGGGGAAATTTGTTACACAGCAATCCATAACAGATACAACCCTGAATCTTACATCAGCAGCATCTGATGCTGTCCTAGCACACTGTCGGTATTCGGTACATAGTTTTTGAATGAGTGAATGGGTTGGGTAACTAGTTATGGCCACATAACACCCCACTCAGATCCCCCCAGGGGCACTCAGATCCAGCCACCATGCCCCCCCCCACAGGTGCCCTTGGCCCTTGCAAATGCCTCAAAGGAAGTCTAGGGGAGTGACCTCTGCCCAGGCGGTGGCTCCTGATGGCCCCGGGGGGCCACCTACCCGAGTGCAAAGACGTCCGAGTGCTTGGAGAAGGGGAGCTTGTCCTCCTCTGTGTCGGGGGACAGCTGGCGGATGATCTCCGGTGCCAGGTGGCACAGCCAGCCGTTCTGGATGCGCAGTTTGTCTTCTCGCCTGGAGAAGCGAAGCACAGAGTGAGCTCAGCTTTACAGCCCAGAGGACCAGTCCCCCCACCCCTGACCTGAGTCCCCAGAGCCAGCTCTTCTGGTTTTTTTCTTTGCTTCCCTCCTGTGGACACCGCCTGATCCTCCACGGGAGGCTGAGACCCAGGGGAAGGTGCAGGAAGAGAGGTAAAGGGAGCGCGACCGAGAGAGAACTCAGCCTCCAGACCATCGCTGGGTCTCCTCGGGGGGACCCGGGCTTGGCTGGATCCCAAGCTGCAGCCGCGGGAACCCAGCCAAGCTGAGGGTTCGCTGGGCCTCAGCCCGCTGGGGCGTTTGGTCAGCGGCTTAGCACAGGTGTGCCACACCAGGACCCCGGCCACTGTCCCCGCCTGCAGCCTCATGCTAGGAGGAGACTGGCCCGTAAGTGACGGACTGCTTATGTGGCCAGGTGATACCAACACCTCTGTTCTCATTTAGGGGTTCTCAACCTTGGCATGATTGGCACTTAGGTCTGGAGAGCTCTTTGTCACAGGCTGTCCTCTGTAGTGTGGCAGCACAGCTGTCCCCCACGCCCCCTGTTGAGACAACTAAAAACATCTCCAGACATTGCCAAAGGGCCCCTGGGTATGGGGCACGTCGGCCCTGGTGAGAGTCACTGTTCTTATCTAAAACAACGGAATGAACAATGGTCTAAAATCCAGTGTTTCCTCATTAAAAACCCGAGGCTGGCCCCTGGGTCATGCACCACGGCCAGGCCAGGACACGTCCTCGGCTAGAAGGACCCACGGGTGAACCCTGGAGCCGCAGAGTGGAGGGGGTTCTCACTTCCAGAATCAGGGGCACCTGCGAGGCCCAAGGATCTCGTGTTGCTGGCCGTGTGAGGGACGCTGAGCAGCCCCGGGCCCTCGCTCCCATCTGCAAATGGGACACAGCAATCTGCAGTCCCACGGCTGGTGCAGGGCGGCCACCAGGGCCAGGTGAGGTGGACACGCTCATGACCTGGGCTGCCCCGTGTCCCTGTACACACACAGTGTGTGTGACTTGGAGAACGCGGGGTAATGTATGCAGTCAGTGTGCACGTGACGCACCAGGTCACAGGTGTTGTGTGTGTCTATACCCTTGGAGTGGACCAGCCATTCTCCTCACATGACAGAGGTCATCGGGGACGGGTGGCCTGCTGTGGCCACAAGGGCAAGCTTGCCTGTTCCCATATCACCCCAAATGCCTGTCCTGCTCTTTCTGCCTCGCTGGGTCAGCCAAGGACCGGCATGGCGGGGTCACCAGGACAGGATGAGTGTGCCACATAAGCACCATCAGCCGGGACAGGCATGGGCCCATGCCTCGGAGGGGACCAGGTGCCAGGCCTAGCACAGACGCCCTGGGGTGCCATGTTCCCATGGTGACGGTCCTCCAAGGGCGAGCCCGAGTCATCTTCACTATGATTATTATTATTATTAATCATAGGCTGCGGGCGGCTGGCGCGAGGGGGCTGGCCCCGTCAATGCCACCTCTTGGGCGGCTGAGGCAAGGGGCTGGCCCCGTCAATGACACCTTTTCTTGGTGGCAGCAGAACAGCTGTGTGCTGGGGTCTCTCTGGATGGGCAGAGCACGCTCACTTTAAAGTGACCCAATAAAATGAGCATGCCCCAGGCCAGGCATGTCCTCTGCTGAGCACCGGCTGTATACTAGGTTTCCCATCCCACGTAAACCCACCCTGGAAGGGCGCCATCTCTATTCCACAGGTAAGGAGACAGGCTCAGTCCTGTAAGTGACCTGCCCAGGGTCTCGGAGGTAATAAGTTATTAAATGAGCCAGGGCCAGTGTGACTGTGTCTCTACTCCCCGGCCCCTGGACTAGACCCCCCGAGAACTCTGCCTGGGCTTTGGGGGACAGCACCCCTAGGAAGCAAAGCCCAAGCCCTTGTAATCGGTCACATTTCATCTTTGAAATCGCCATGTGAGGAAGGCACTATTGATGCCTGCCTCCCACCCCCATTTCATAGATGAGGAAACCGAGGCTCGGGGGGTCAGATGTGTATTTAATAAAAATAAGTTGCTGTCATCGATTCCCATGGTGTTTATGGACCGCATGGGTCCCTCTTGAAGTTCATTTGCTCAAGCCCTGACCCCTGACGTGACTGGAACTGAAGATAGGGCTTTTACAGGAAAGGAATTAAGTCTGGGCCCCTCATCTAATAGGACTTGGGTCCTTATAAGAAGAGGAGGAGTCCTCATAGATGTCTCTTCTCCTGAGTCACAGAGAGGCCCTGTGAGGTCACCGTGAGAAGGAAGAGAGCCCTCGTCAGAAACTGAGATGCCACACCTCAATCTGGAACTTTCTAGTCCCAGAGCTGTGAGAAAATAAAGTTCGGTTGTTTAAGCCGAGCAGCCTGTGGCGTTTTGTTATAGCAGCCCGGGCGCACTAATACCTCATACCGTCCAGGCCCATCTCATAAGGGCTCATTCAGGCAGCTCCCTGCGACGCCCGCAGCCTGGCCAGCGCTCCTCCTTCCACTTCTATCATCCCGTGGTCCCCAGGCTGCCAATCTGGGCCCCGAGGCCCCCTGTTCAAGGGGTGACTCCTAGACTCCAGTTTCTGCCCTGGGGGCTCCAGCTGGGGGCACTCCCTGCCTGGAGGGGCCTCTTCACAAACAGGAGGCAGGCGACTGTGACCTGATGTCCAGCAGGGGACTTGCAGAGCCCCAGAGCTTCCGTGGAGGTAGAGGTTATCCACTAGATGGGAAAAGCTCTGGGGCTCATGGGACACCATCCTGCCTGTCATGGTCCCCATCCTGCCTAGGAGACTGTGGAAGATGAAAGAAGGCCACCATAGTCACTGTGACCTCTCCCTCTGCTCCCCTTGAATCTGTGCTGGCCTTGGGTGACCTGACTGTTGTGGGAGGAGTGTTTGGGGACCTCAGAGGTGAGGTCTCTTGCAGGTTTGCAGCCTCCCCCTGGGCACCTCCAATGCTCCAGCTGACGGAACCCAGCTGCTGCCGGAGAGTCTGGCCACCTGGAGACCAGTACAGTCCCAGAGACAGGGGAAAGGAGGGGACGTGAGCGAGAGAGTAAGAGGAGGGGGAGAGAATGGTGGGAGGCCTCCCCCAGGCCCCTGCTGCCCCAGCCACCCCCACCCAGGTGCCCAGATGTGTGCAGAAGGCTTGCGGTCAACTCCAAGTTCAACCCACCGGGCTGCACCTACACGGCTCCAGCCACCGAGGCTCAATGGAGCCATCGATCCACAGAGCCACAGGAATGACAGCAGCTAGCCTTAAGCCACCAGGCTCAGGATGGCCTTTGACCTGATAATAAAGAACTGGGCCAGGGGTAGAACCCAGGAAGCCACCCACAGCTCTGTGGGGACAGCTGGGAAGCCCAGTCTCTTTGCTGGGAGTTGTGGCGGAGGGCTCCCTGGCCTCTCCCTGGCCTCTGACTGGTCTGCGGTGACAAGAGGCTGGGCTGGGGCTGGGGACGGGGTGACTTGGCTGATCTTTCTTTCGGGTGGACACTGGGAGCTGAAGGAAAGAGCACTCAGGTCGTCTGTCACCCCATGTCCTCCTCTGCCTACACCTGGGGTCCACCACCTACTTCCTCAGCCCAGGCAGGTTATGCACCACACAGAAATGGCCCAGTTTGGCCAGATTTCAGGGGATCTGGCTTAGAGTCAAGGCATCAGAGAGCAGGCACACAATCCCCCCCCCAGGGGTGCTGGGGTGCACCTCCAAGAAATCAATGGTGGCCCAAAGCGGACGAAAGGAAAGAGAAGGAACAGAAGTCTGGGGACATCCTCCAGGAGAGACAGGCCACTCCTTCTAAGATGCATGACGAGAGAAACACACAGGGTTTAAAGTGTGTGTGTGTGTGTGTGTGTGTGTGTGTTCAAAAACATACACTCCAAATTAACCATCGCAAGCCTAGACCTGAATCATGAGTTGCTTATTGGGGATCTCGCTGGTTCTCTGTGGTCAACTCCGTGTGGCCTGCTCTAGGGCAAAGGGCAGTGGGAGTTAATTGCTCAGCCGTGGTTAATCATTCCCCGGGTACCACTGGGGAGGTCTATGCAAATTAATCCTCACCGGACTTGCTGGCTGCTTGTCCGCGTCAGGCTCTCTTGTCACTGAAGAACCTTCTAGGTAGCATCATTTTCTTGTCGGCAAGGAAACCCAAGTTCAGGGACATTGGGCACCTTGACTAAAGTCACAGTTAATAAGTGGCAGAGCCACATCAGGCCCCACGTGGGTCTGACTTTAAATCCTCGGTTCTTAACTGTACTCTGGCTGTACTAAAATTAATTAGTTCCTCGGGCAGCGTTGAACAAGGGCTCTAGGGCGATTCTAGCTTCTGTCATTTAGGGTGAGCTAGACGCAAGGGCCCGGGCCTGGCAGGACTTAGGGATGCTCTGAGCTCGGTGACATGTACTCCCAAGTGCCATGTGCAGGACAGGTGAGCAAGGTGCTGCTGCCCACCCACTCAGCTCCGTGACCCCGGGCCCAACACCAAATCCAGGTCACCCGAGATATTTGGGGTGAGTTCAGCCATCCAGAACACCTCTGGGCCCTTTGGCCACCTCTCACCTGCCAGCCTGCAGCACCCCGGAAATGCTGAAGAGCCCAAAGTCCGTGATGACCACTTTGCCGTTGTCGTAGAAAACGTTCTTGGATTTGAGGTCCTTGTGAAGGATCCCCTTGGCGTGGAGGTAACCCATGCCCTGCAAAACGTAAACACACGGGGCCCCCCCATCGGTCACCCTCGTGGGGAGTGCACTCCTGTCCCGCCACCCTTGGAGCCTGGAAGTGGGGTGGGGGCAGGCACGGCAGGGGGAACAGGTCACCCCCCCATCACCAACCTGCCACCCCCCTCAGACCACTTCAAAGCCATCTCCATTTAGCTGGCTTGCTTGAGAGGGGGCAAGGTCCCCAGAGGAAGAAATGCCATCAGCCACCTTCTCCCACTTCCCCTTTAAAAACTAACTCCTCTGCAGTTCCTGCTCGTTCCCAGGGAGACGAGGAGCAGGGTCCACTCCTGGGGGTCTGGCTCAAGGGCAAACACAGAGATTTTGTCTTTGTGAACAAGCTCATCTTCCGCGTCTTCTCAGGCTCCTAACTCTTCCAATGGGCAGTAGAAGTGCAAAACCAACTGACTAACAAGGTACCTGCAGGAAACCCAGGGTCTTCCTGCTTGTTTTAATCCCAAAGGGACACTGAGGACCCACGATTCCCCAGCAGCTGTGCAGGGAGATCATTTGTGCTGGTGGGAATTCAAGGACTCCAAGAAAACGGATCCCAGCCCAAGAACTGAGCAACCTGTGTGCCCACTGGCCCTCGCAGAGGTCAGAGCACCCTGACGATGAGATGCCAAACAGAGACCAAAGGCCACTCCCAATGGTCCTATCAACAAAATCCTGACTTTTTGCACAATCTGGTGTATATATATATATATATTTTTTTTGGGGGGGGGCAGATACCAGGGATTGAACTCTGGGGCACTCGACCCCTGAGCCACATCCCCAGCCCTATTTTGTATTTTATTTAGAGACAGGGTCTCACTGAGTTGCTTAGCGCCTTACTGTGGCTGAGGCTGGCTTTGAACTCACGATCCTCCTGCCTTAGCCTCCCAAGCTGCTGGGATGATGACAGGCGTGTGCCACTGCGCCCGGCACAATCTGGTATTTTTCAGGTCAAGTCTGATCTCTTTGAAGTCCTGGTGGGCCAAACCCAGACCCTGAGTGTCAGGATCCCCAGGGGTTTCCCAGGGGGGGCCTGGTCTTTCTGAGGGTCTGGCGGGGGAGGGGTGCAGCACCTACTGTACCTTCACAATTTCCTGAGCGATCTGTCTGGTTTTGTTGACATCCAGGATGATCTTGGCATCCCTCACCACCGAATAGAGTGTCCGTCCCTTGCAGAGACTGCAAAGCAAAAGGACAAGACGGTTTACTGAAATGATTGGCAGTTGTTAAGAAGTGACCCACTGCAGTGACGAGAAGTCACAGATAATTGGATGGAAGGGCCGCTCTGGTACCTATGGGTTAACGACCGACGACCCGGGACCAAACCTCAGATCTGGTTCTGGGATGAAGACCTGGGGCAGAGGTTCTCATAGATTCTTCAAGAATTCCCAACAAGTTCCCGGGATGCAAAGACCCCTGCAGAATCTAGCCCCGTCCAGAGAAGGGGGTGGCCACCGGCTGTTTATCCCAGGGTCCCAATAATGGAAAGCCATGCAGAAACCACCCAGCGGATGGTGGGTCCTCAGCTGTCACTCAGACAGCTCTCTGCCTGCCCGTGTGTGGGGACAGTACAGGAGACTAACAGTGTGGCAGCTGATGTGTGCTAAGGACCATCAGCAAAAGCGCCTTGGTCCTCGAGGCGGGGTGTGTAAACCCCAGTACCCCCCCAAACCAGACTCCTGAAGAGATGGAGGGTTTTCACACTATTTTCAGCCTCATTGAGTTCATTTTGAGGACCAGTGGCTCAAGATGAATGACGGGATGGGAAAAGGGACATTATGCAGTGACGGTAACACCTCTCATTTAGCCTCTCGCCTCCTCCATCCTGCTCCTCCACTATGAGCCCCCGTCTGGGCACACTCAACGGGCAGAGGATGACGAGTGGATGAATGAATGAATTCTAGATTCACCACGGTGTCCCTGGCCCCCCGCACTGGGACTGGCTGAATGAAGAATGTCATCATCAAAAGCCCTGGTTGTATATGCGATTTTGCTGAAATTGCATTTCCGGCAGTTGAGCCAGAACTGTGGAAGCATCTCAGAATTACAGCCCTTGCTCTTCACTTACTGTATATCGTAAAATGGGTTACTGAACCTCTCTGGGCCTTAGTTTCCTCTTAGTGATGCACACCTTGCAGTTGGATTTGACGACTGAATGAGATAAAAAGAGTTGAGAACAATGCTTGGCTCTTGGTGGGAAGCACATATCACACCAGTTAGGCACACAGGGGTCTAGAGTCAGACACTACTGGGTTAGGATCCTCATCTGTCAGGTGCCGGCTGTGTAACCCCGGGGAAGTTTAGTTCCCCTCTCTGAGCCTCAATGTCATTATTTGTGAAATGGAGCCAAAGGTTCCTGTCTCTTAGGATTATGGAGAACCACCTGAACTTAGATGTGTCAGGGAGTAGGCACTTCTTCATGCACACATATGCTTGTGCAGACATATAAATGATATATTTCTACACATTTCACACTACCCCTACCCTGTATCTCCAATCTACCCCCCGCCATAAACAAACCCATCCCCAATGCTCCCTATAGCAGCCATGATCATATATATATATTGGGGGGGATTGATCCCAGGGGCCCTTAACCACTGAGCCGCATGACCAGCCCTTTGAATATTTTACTTTGAGGCAGGGTCTTGTTAAGTTGCTTAGGGCCTCACTAAGTTGCGGAGGCTGGCTTTGAACCCTCGATCCTCCTTCCTCAGCCTCCCAATCCGCTGGGATGACACGCGCACACCCCTGCACCGGGCAGTAGCCGCAGTTTGACTGAGGCGGGCTTCTTCACTTGCCTAAGGTGAGATTCCCGGGGCAGCTGCATCTGTCCAGACAGGGAGTGTGACTCACCTGTCCAGGGTCACCCGTACTCCTCAGGAGGCTGCCCAGATGACTCAAGGCTGTCCCCCTCTGCTGTCCCTGCTGGGGTGTTTGCTGAGCACCCCCCAGCCAATTAAGACATATTGACATTTAAATATTGGGGGTGGCGGAGGCGTGGGTGGATTCCCTCCCCTGGGCCCTTTGTTCTGAAGAGCCACCTACACTCATTACAGGCCAGGTTCCTCCCCGTGCTGCCGCAGAGCAAATAACGGCAACAGGCTCCAAGACTCCCGAGTCTCTCCAGCGTCACTGCGTAAAAGTCACAAGCACCACCAGTTCCTCTTTAGCCCCGACAAGCCAGCACCGGGAGCGGGGTAGGAATCGGGGCAGCCCCCCTTGGCCGCACCCACCCAGTGAGACCCACAAAGAGCCCAGCGTCAGCGACTCCTCCGAGAGCGCTCAGCCTGTTGGCCCCGAGTACACCAGGTCACTAGCCACCCATCCACCATGGCAACAGCCTGACTCACTGTGTTCCCCTGGGATTCCCAGGTTGAAACCCTCACCTCGTCCTCAGGGGTGCTAGGAGTCGGGAGGGCCTTGGAGGTGACCAGGCTGCAGAGTCCCTGGGATGGGACCAGGGCTTTAATAAAGGGCCTCCGGAGAGTGCCACTGCTCCCTGTGGGCACAATGAAGAGGTGGCCCTTGGAACCCAAGGAGAGTCCTCGTTGGAGCTGGACGGTGCCGGTTCCCCAATCTCACCCTTCCAGCCTCCAAACCCCGAGAGGAAATTTCTGCTGTCCACAAGCCGCCCAGGCTGCCTGCTCGGTTTCGCACCCGAACTCAGACCCAGCCCAAGTGTTCACCAGCGGAACAATGGACAGACTGCCATCTGGCCACCCAAGGGAATCCGTCCACACCACACGGTGTGAAAACAAACGACTGCTCACGGCCAACAGCAGGGACCAGCCCACAAATGCAGCACTTGAAGCCAGATACACAAGACCTCGGGAAGATTGTGACACTATCAAGTGCCGAGCGCAGGGAACTCATCTGGGTACTGAAAGCTATTATAGGACTGAGCTCTGTGTGTGTGTGCACGCGCGCGCGCACGTGTGTGCATGTGTGTGTCAGAGGGAGGCTGGAAGGAGCCTTTGGAGTCTGGGACAGGCAAGGACTGAGTGGAAACTCCGTGGGCTGGGCTCCCCTGGTCTGGCCACTCGTGTAGGTGTGCGATCTTTAGAGAGGGTCCCTTTAAAATTTTCAGCAAGAAAGGGATGAACAATTGGTCCATGGTGACCAACAACGGTCACCTAAAGGATCCATTTCTCAATCCTTCATAAGCATTTTTCTATAGAAAAAATAAACCCCGGGCTCCAGGCCCGGCGGCAACCCACGCAGGTCTTTATTAGCGGCCGGGGTAGGGACAGGCGCAGGGGGAAGGCCAGCTCGGCCGAGCAGACAGCGCACCCAGGGTGACCGAGGCCGAGAGCCAGGGTGTCCATGGAAACTGCTCTGAGCAGAGACTTCTCGTGGTTGGCAACGGTGCCCTGATAGCAGGGGGTGGGGAGAAGGGGGTGCAAAGGGTTCACTGAGCACGTGGCTGGGAGCCAGGCTCACCCCCAGAGTCCTCCGGACCCTCCTGCGAGGTCTCCATTACTACCCTATTTTACATGAGGCCTGGAGGCCACCAGGAGCAACGACCACTGTCCACACATGGCCACGATGGCCACACGTGGCTGTTCCCACCCTCCTCTCATCTCCTCCCCCTGCTGTGAGGTCCTCTATCATCCGAAACCTTTTCCCGATGCTAGGGGAGCAGCCCACCTTTGTAGAGGTGAGCAGAGTGAGCCTGAATCCCCTCTGCCATTGACCGCGTGTTGAACAACGGTGGCTCCAGCCTCGGTTTTCTCATCTGTAAAATGGGACAGCAGAAGCAGCGGTCCAAGCTAACGCAGACCAAGAGCCTTCTAGGCTCCAGACGCCAGCCCATGCACAAGAGCCCCACGAGGTGGGTATCCTTGCTGCCTGTCACTGAGTCAGAGATGCGCACCTCCCATTTCAGCATCTCAGAGACCAGCATGCGTTTTGCAACCGCCTGCAGGACACAGTTTCTTTGGCACTGTTTCTTTCTTTGTAGTCCATAAAAACCAATGATGCCTAGTCTAAATGAGGGCATCTCAGATTCAGTGAAGTGTGGTACCAGCTCTACAGAGGAAGAAACTGAGGGTCAGGGAGGTTAACTGAGGCTGGAGATTTTCTTTTTTTAATATTTACTTTTTAGGTGTAGATGGACACAACACAAAATGCCTTTATTTTTATGTGGTGCTGAAGATCGAACCCGGGTCCCGCCATGCTAGGCGAGGGCTCTATTGCTGAACCACAATCCCAGTCCCTGTTTTTTTTAATTGGCAGGTAAAATTGTATGTATTTATCGCATACAACATTTTGAAATATGTATACTTTGCAGAATGGCTAAATCCAGTGATTTAACATCTGCATTACTTTGAATACTTATCATTTGTGTGTGTGTGTGGGGGGGGGAGAACACTTAAAATCTGTTCTTTTTCAAGTATCAAATGCATCCTTATAATTAAATTCACCAGCACATACAAATAGATGTCATGAACATGTTTGTCTAATTAAAATTTTGTGTCCTTTGACCAACACCTCCCCAGTCCCCCCACCTCCCACCTCCCAGTCTCTGTTTAACCCCCATTTTACTTGATTTCTATGGGTCTGACTTTTCAAGATTCCACATATAAGTGATATCCGGTGGCATCCTGTCTCTCCGGGCCTGGTTTCATCCGTGTTATTGCAAACAAGAGAATTCACGTGTTTCTAAGGTCATGAGCCTCGACTGAGCCCGGAAATCACCTTCTCTTTATCTATCTGTCCACTGATGGCCACTGGGGCTGATTCACATCTTGGCTGTCAGGAAGAACCTTGCATGGAGCACACAGTGCCGTTCAATGCGTCCATTTCCTTTCCTTCGACTGTGCACGCAGGAGGCTTGAACTGGGCAGCCTGGCTCTGGATGGTGCTCTGGAGACCCATCTTGGCTTCTTAACAGCTTTCTCTGCAACTTTGGCACATAACGACCTTCCGTAAATGGCAGCTTTAACGTCCACTACCACCGTCACCCTGAGTGATGAAGATGAATGAGGCCTGCTGTCCTTGGGGCCAGAGTTAGTCTGGAGGTCAGTGGAAGGTGTTCCAGTGGAGGAGGACACGGTTAGTGCCTCTGTAGCTTCAAGGCAAGTGCATTCCCAGTACAGACGCACACACTCACACACACGCCTGGGTATCTCTCTAGGCAACAAAAATCATGTTTCTCCAAAAAAGAGGTTCAAGGACTG